GTTCAAATGCTGCCTATCACTGAGCCAGGGTCATATGTCTCAGCCGGGGGGAGGAGGGACCCAGGAATCACAGGACTCATGTTGCTATTTCCAGGGAGAGCGCCGAATGGAAACGGGCAACATGTATTGAGAGTTTACTAGGTACCTGGCACCGGACCAAGGACTGCCTGTGCCCCACCTCACAGAGGTAGGTAGCTGTCACTCCACTTTATAGGAAAGGAAACCAAGGCTCAGAGCGGTGAAGCAACTTGCCCCGGGCCACACAGCAAAGGAGAGGCAGAACTGGTTTCGAATCCCAACGGTTGGGCTCTCACCTTCTAGGCTCTGATGCCACCCCCAGAAGTGCAGGACCCGGGGAAAGCGACTGCCAGGTGCAATTAGGCGTATGAGCCCGACCTGTGGCCGGCTCCTCGGGCACAGAGGGACTTGGCAGTGACCCGAGCACTGAAAGGTGTGAGGGAACACTCAACCCAAGCGGTCCGTCACGTAGGAGATGACATGGCCAACACTTGCATGAACCCCACCAAAGACCCAGCATGATGGGGGACCCCTCGAGAACAGCAGCGTAGACAAGTGACATTCCCTACCCTGAGGTGATCTGCCACCCTTGGACTGGCTTGACCAGGACTGAGCTTCCCCAACCCATGGCACAGAGTTCAAAACAGAGATTATGTTGAGTAAATGATGGCCCATCGGTCCTCTGCATTCTTGCCCAGGTGGGCGACGCGAAGCAGGGCAGTAGCCGGCGGCAGGCTGAGAGTGGCTTGGGAGTGACATCGCAGGTTTCCCCAGCCTCCCCCTGACGTGCTGTCGTCTTCTCCATTTTGCAGACGGGGAAACAGAGACCCACTCATCCATAGCCACGTGTCAGGGAAGTGCCAGGGCCAGGCTGCGAACTCAGGTCGGCCTGACTCCTACATCAGTGACCGCAGGCCCGTGGTGTCCTATGGGGACTCGGGATTATCAGGCTAGGTGGATGGACGCCAGGAGAGAACAGTCCACTGTGAGCTGAAGGGATGAGCTGGGTGACCTTCTGACCCAAAAGCCTTCAGTTTAAATCCATCCTTTGGTTGAGTCAGTGTTGCCTAAGCACCAGGCATCCAGGGGAGTCAAAGAGGATGAAAGGGTGAGACTCGGGGTAGAAAAGCCAGGTGGGAGTTGATGAGGCCTGAGCCAGGGCAGCAGCCAGGGCAGCGCCAGGTAGACGGGAGGATGGATGTTGACGAGAGAAGCTGAAGCAGCAGGATGGATGGGACATGATGCCTGGGGGGTAGGGGTGGGGGGAGAGGAGGTGAAGGACAGCCCCAGGTGCAGAGGCCACTGGCTGGGTGATGATGCCTTAAACAGGGAGAGCAGTGGGCAGCGGAGGGAAGAGCTGAGTGTCAGACAACTTCGGAGCTGAGACACTGGTTTCGAATCCCAACAGTTGGGCTCCAGGGGCGGGGGGACATCAGGGTTATGGATTTGGGGCACAGGAACCCATCAGGTGCCCATCTGGTGTCATGGAGGAGCAGGTTGGAGACAGTGAGCAGGAGTGGTGGTGGGCATCCCGGAGGGCAGTGCCACTAAGGGTGAGAGGAAACCAAGAGATGAGATGAAGTCCTGGGAAACATCAACATTTCAGGATGGGGGAGAAGCAGGGGCAACCTGCGAGATGGGAGACACAGATTGAGCACCTACTATGTGCCAGGCACCGTTCCAGGCCCTGGGAACACGAAGTGAACAGAACAGACATGGTCCCTGCTCTCTGGCAGCTCACAGACCAAAAGAAATGCTCGTAAGAACAGGTAGTAGTAAGTGCTGAGGGGAAACCCAAAACCAGGTGGAGGGATAGCAGGAGCGTGACTGTTCTCAATAGGATGGACAAGGAGGGCCTTTCTGAGGAGGTGACATTTAACCAAAGCCCTGAGGGAGGTCGGGGGTGAGACATGTGGGTATCTGGGGGGAGGGGTGTTCCAGGAGTTAAGGCTGTTTGCTCTTATGGGAGCCCTGGGAAGGGTTTGGGCAGAGGAGGGGCAGGATCTGACTTAGGTGTGAGCAGGACCCCGCTGCCTGCTGTGCAGAAAGGACTGTGGGGCCAGGTGGAAACGGAGCCCAGGACGGTGGCCTTGAGGACCATCTAGGTAGGAAGGAGATGGGGTGGCTGTCCAGGGGGGGCCCGAGGAGGAAGGGAAAGTGGCTGGAACAGCAGGCCTTGTAGATGAGGGCTGCTGATGGAGACAGCTTCTGGAAGGATGGTGCTGGGCAGCGGTACTAGATTTGTCAGGAGGTCAAGTATGATGAAGACTGAGCCGTGGCCATTGATGTGGGAAGTGGGGTGTGGGAGGCGACCTTGCGGGAACGGGGAAGTGGGCCTTGAGGCAGCAGAAGTAGAGCATGTGGGCTTCTGAGCGCCAGGCCAGAGTCGGAGGGGCTATGGGATGAAGAGGCTTGTTTCCTCTCTCCCTCCTCTTTCTCTTCCTTTTGAAACACGGAAGATGCTTGGACACCAAGGGGGAGGGCCAGCAGGGAGGGAGCGGTGGATGGAGACGCAGGAAGGATGTTGATTTGAGGAGGCTGAGGGGCTGCAGGGGATGGGCTCACAGCCTGGAACGGGGGAAGCGGCCTTGGCCCTGGAGAAAGGCTTGGGGACTGGCGGGGGCGCAGGTGAGCCTGCAGGTGTGGGCAGGCTGCGGAGGGGCACCTCTCTCCCGGGCCCCGTTTCTTGTTGCAGGAGGTCCATGGTCTGGTGAGAAGACGGGTGGGGTTCAGGATGGAGGCCTAAGGAAGGTGAGGTTTGGAGTAACTTTCATGGGACTGGAAACAGGTGCCTGAAGACACACATTTCAGGGCAGCATGGCGCCCTCATTGGGTTGGCTCCAGAGTGTGAAGCCAAGTGCTCCCTGGAGGGGGGCCTGAGGGAGGGGGCCTGAGGGTGGGATGGTGGAGGCTGGAGGTGTTGCAGGGCAGGTAGTGGGAGGGCAGGTGGGCAGAGGACTGTGGGAAGATGCTGAGTGAGGGCTGAGGAGGCGGGTGGTCTGGGCAGGAGTGAAACAGGAGGTTAAGTGCGTGCGTGCACGAAGGTGTGAGTGTGTACATGGCGCACCTTGGTTAGGCAGGTACAGGGCAGCCTCTCCCTTGCAGATGGACCCCCCCAGGGTGTGCAAAAGGCAGTCCTTTGGGAAACAGGAGGAAAATACCAGAACTTCAATTTACATGATTTCACATGGCATCTTTCTTAAAAGATTTTTTTTAGTGATTTTCAGAGAGAGAGAAAGGGAGAGGGAGGGAGAGAGAAACACTGATGTGAGTGAGACATTGATTGGCTGCCTCCTGCACAACCCTACTGGGAACTGAACGGGCAACCTTTGGGTGCATGGGAGCGAGGGAGAGAGAAACACTGATGTGAGTGAGACACTGATTGGCTGCCTTCTGCATGACCCTACTGGGAACTGAACAGGCAACCTTTGGGTGCATGGGATGATGCCGAACCTGCTGAGCCACACGGGCCAGGGTCCTATGCCACCTTTTTAATGTTATTTTCATTTGTGTTCATTTTCACTTGATGTGCATTTCCGTTTGTGTCACCCCTTGTACCTATGATCTTCATGTGGGCACACGTGCATAGCTATCTGATAAATATGCACGTATTAGGGAGTGAACATTGCTGCGGGGCCACACAATTGGAACAATCTGGAAACCATGGTAAGAAGGGCCCGCTCCTTGGAGAGGCACCTTGGGGAACACTCTTGTCTCCTTTGCTCTCACCTGAGTCTATAAGCCGCTGTCTGCTGTCTCATACATTCAAAAGCTCCCGCAATCGGTTCACTCCTCTCCACTCCTGCTATCGATCAGACGGTCTTTGGTGCCTGGGTCCTGCTCTCTCCCTTGGTAGCTCCTACTCAGGGGGCTGGCCAGGTCCATCTCGGGACCTGCAGGATGCCTTTCCTACCCCTACGCCGGCCCCGGGGCCAAGCCTGCCTCATTCACCTCAGTGCCCGACCCAGGGCCTGGCACGCAGTAGGTGCTCAGAGTGTTTGCTGAAAGAATGAGGGCAGGAGCTCCTAGTGGCGCTGGCCTGGGGCACGTGGCGGTGGTGTCCTCAGCTCCTTGTCTCTGCCACCCCCTATCCAATGCAGCAGCAGAGCCCACCAGCTCCCTCTTCAGGATACGCCAGCATCTGACTGTCGACATGAATGGCATCAACGCCCACTTCCAGCCCCATCCTGCTTCAGGCCTCCATCGCTCTTGCCTGGTGGCTGCAGCAGCCTCCTCGGGCTTCAAACCTCCACCCTGTCCCCTACGGACTGTTCTGTTCAAACCGATTCAGGTGAGCCAAAGTCCGTCCAGAGGCCCCCAAGGCCCAACATGGACTGCCCTCCCCTCTCCTCTCGGTCTCATCCCTCACCCTTCGTCCCCCTCCTCCTCTGCTCCAGCCTCACTGGCCACCCTGCTGTCCCCAGGCACCCGCTGCGTTCCCACCTCCCAGCCTTCGCACGCGCTGGCCCCTCTGCCGTAAAGGCCCTGCTCCCAGGTCCCTGCACGGGCCGCTCCTTCACTCCACTTGCTCTCCGGGTTCTCTCGGCTTCTCTGCCCTCAAGTAGCCACGCTGGTCACTTCTTGCCTTTCCCCCTCTTTCATTTTGCTTCCCCGTCTGACCGGGTAGATGTTTACTGTTCACCTCTTTATGCCTCTGCCCCCACCAGTCCAGAAGGGGACAGACTGTTTATTTGCTGGCGGATCCCCAGCACCCGGGAAGGGCCTGGCCCATGGTAGCTTTTATCAGGTGAATGAGTGATGGGCAGTTAGGGAGTCAGGTTTCCAGTTCTGACCCTGCCCAGTCTTGCTGTGTGGCCTTAGGCTTATCCCTGCCCCTCATGATCTCAGTCTCTGCAATTCAGAGACAAGGGTCCCATCAGCCTGGCCCTCTGTGCCCAGGGGAGGCCTCTGGGGTGGATGCTCCAGCTGCCAATTGCTGCCCCTGACCCCCAACCCCCCTCCCCCGCAGGCCCAGCCCGTACCTTCTGCAGCCGCTGCGTGTTGTTCTCCAGCATCTTCTCCAGGTGTTGCATCCGCTTGGTAGGCCAGGCCACTAGGTTCAGCGAGTCCCTCTGGAGGCTGTTGGAGCCCCTGAAGGTCCCCCCAGTCTCTGGAGCGCAGGCCTCCGGCTCGGGCAGCAGGAAGGTGTAGCTGCACTGGCCGTGCTGGACGCGATGCGCCAGGCGGCGCTCTCTCACCTCCTGCCCCCTCCGCTGGGCCACAGTCAGGGTGGCCACCGTGAGGAGGAGGCCCCCCAGCAGCATGGCCGGCCAGGAGAGCATCCAGAGATGTGGTGATGGTGAGGGGTGTCTGGTCAGAGCCCCCCGGCCCCGCTCCGTGCCTGGGTGTCCCCGCTGTGGCCAGCAGTGGACAGGTCTGCCCTAGAACCGCTGCAGCTGCAAACCCCTGTTTGGCCAAGCTCCACCCAGACAGCTATTTATACTTGTTCCAGATGCCACAGCTGCTCAGCTCCGCCCACCGCCCTGCTCGCTCCGCTCTCCCTCACCTCTGTTCTTCCCCTTTCCCTTCCTTCCTCTCGCGGGCCCTCCTGCTACCCTGTCTGTGCACCAGCCTTGCTGATCGTAGGGGCCTCAGAGCCCTTATTTCCCAGGGGGACCCGGCCTCCCTGTGAGGGCGCAGGAAAGAAAACAACCCACAGACGTGTGCACACACACTCACAGACTCACACACGCCCCCCAGGCCGCCTGCTGCAGAAAACCAACCCAACCCAACTGTCTCTTCCTCTCTCTGTCTCTCTCTGTCTCTCTTTCCAGCCTCCTCCCACGAAGGCCGGAATCTCAAATTTCAGCACCCCATGCCTCCGCTGTCCCCCCACCCCCACCCCCAGCACGTTCCTGCTCTAGTTCCGGGGGAGCATTTGGCTCACAGGGAAATAACCCGGATAGAGCCACGGGAGGGGCAGAGGGGCGAGGCTGGGGAGGAGGCAGCCCGTCCAACCTGTTTCAGGAGACAGAACGTCCTTGCGGGGCCAGGGAAGTGCCTGCTTCACCACGGAGCTGGGTCCCTTGGGGCCGGGCGCCAGGGACGTTGTGCCCTGAGGTGGCCCTGGCTCAGGTCCTGTGACAGCCGGAGAGGCCGTCTGTCCTGCAGCTGAGGGTAGCGGGTCGGGAGAAGAGCTTGGGAGGCAGCCCTGGAGTCAGAGGCAGCGGCTCTAAACCCGCTCCCCAGCTGCCGGCCCTGAGACCTTGGGGGCGTCCATATCCCCACCCATCAGCTGAGTAAACCCGTCTCTCATGCCAGGAATGCATGTGAGTCCTCAGCATGGGGACGGGGGACTGTTGATGTCCTTGTTTATCTGTCTCCCGCTTCAAATCCTGGCTCCACGCCTTACCGCTGTTCAACTTCGGGCAGTCACTTGACTTCTCTGTTTCCTCTTGATAAACCGAGGAAAATACCACCCATTTCTCAGGGTGTGAACATCAGCTGGTGAGAACAGTGCTGGCACTGGGTGAGTAGAAATAATTATTTTAAATTAGGGTCCCTGTAAGGTCATTATCTATCTCCCCTCCCCCAACCCACCGGAATGTTAACCCCATGAGGCCGAGGATTTGGCGGGCAGACGTGATTGTGGGGCAGGAGGTGCCCAGGAGCCGGCTGGGGCTCTCCTGGGTGGCTGCTTCCGGCTTTCTCTGCTCCTTTTCCCAGAGCGGGGGCAGGTCCGCTGTTTGGTATTGTTTTTTCCCCTTTGTCTTCCCAAATCCTGTTGGAATTTTGAACAGGGCAGCTGCTTGGGACAGCGGCGAACCGGGGGCTCATCCGGGGCACGGAGAACATTCAGCCAGGTGTGCTGGGCCGTGGCAGGAAGAGGAAAGGCAGCTGGTGATCGGGCACCTGCATTCGCCAGCTTCCCGCGTGCCCAGAGCCCTGTTCTCACTCCCCCTCAACCGGCAGAGTCACACCACCTCCGGCCTTGCAGGGCAGAGGCGTGCTCACACCGATTGGGGGTTTACTACGGTGCCTGGCACACAGGAGTCCAGAGCAAGAGCCTATCGTTAGGACTGAGTAGGTTGAGCTGTGCAATAATCCCAGGGAGGCCAGCGTTATCATCTACCCATTTTACCGAAGAGAAAACAGAACTCTGGAGTAGAGGAGGGATTTGCCTAAGGTTACACAGCCTAGGGTGCTTGGCCTGGACTGAAGAAGGACAGGTGTAGCCACCAGGCTTGTCCCAGAGCCTAACCCATTCCCTCCCACCCACACTCCCAGGACGTGTGCAGTGTGCAGTGTGCAGTGTGCAGTGCAGGGACAGCAGCCCCCTCATTCTCTGTCTCCTCACTGTGCACTAGTGAGAGCATTAAACCTCCTCGTGGGACGTCAAGATGATGATGGGAAGCTACCGGCACAGGTGATGCATTTACTCTTCTTGATGGAAAGAATGAATGAATGTAATGTAAGTCCCTTCCCTGCATAGACTTAAATAGACACCGGTCCTAAAATTACACTAGGGTCTCTCTGTACAAAAGAAGAAACAGAATGACCCATCCACAGAAGAAATGTAGATCGGATGAACAGAAGAATTCTAGAAAGCCTGGGAGATAGATTGCCGACCTCTGCACCTTCATTTCAGCACCCCTTCTGACCCCAGGGCCTTTGCATATGCTGTGTTCTCTTATTCAGAGCACTATTGTCTGCCCACCCTCACCCTTGGCCCCCCTTTCACCAGCTTCCTGTTACTGTGTCTGCCAACAAATGACTCCAAAACTTAGTGGCTTAAAACCAAAATCACCATTTATTATCTCTCAGGGTTTTTGTAGATCAGGAATTTGTGAGCAGCTCAGCTGGACGGTCTGCTTGGGTCTCTCATGAGGTCTCAGGCTGAGCTGGGATCATCGGGAAGCTTCTTCATCTCACCTGCCAGCTTCTGGGCATCCCCCATCACCTCCTCTCCCCCTCCCTCCATGGTTCTTCAGGTGGGTCTCCAGCAGAGTGGCTTCCGGCAGCCAGGCTTCTTCCATGGCCACTCAGGGCTACAAAGGTGCCGTCCCCAGAGCGCCAGGTGGACGCCATATCACCTTTTAGGACCTGGCCTCACTAGTCATTCAGTGGAGCTTCTACCACATTCCATTGGTCCGGGTCTCCCTGGGTCCAAGGCAGGCCGTAGACCCACCTCTCCGTGGAAGGGCGTCATTGTCGCAAGAAGAGCGTGCTGGAGGGGCGTGTGCCACTGTGACCCTCTCTGGGAAGTGGTGCCGGCAGGAGAAGCTCTTTCCATCTTTCATTGTTTTAGTGTGAATATTGCTGACACTTGCTCACACAGGCCCCTTAGCTCTGTCCAAGTTCTAAAACAGACCCCCCCCCCCACCAGCCTTTCCCCTTTATGTGAACCCTTCTCAAGGTGCAAGGTTAACGACTTGTGTGGTGACTCATCTCTCTGTCCCCAGCATGTGATGTGCAGTTTGTTCTCAGTAAATACCTGCCAGATGAACGAATGAATGAATGTGTGAATGAATGAATGAATGAATGAATGCAATGCTTTAGCCAGGCTCTCCCTGCCTGGAGATGGGCACCAGGAGGGGTGCTGTGCAGTCACTATGGGCTACACTAACAGGGCAAGCCTGGCTGACACAGACCTGAGTGGCCCTGGGCAGGCTGCGGCCGCTTTGGGCCCAGTTTCGTCCTCCTCGATTGGGGAGCGTGACTAGGCTCTATCCCCGTCCCCCCTGAGATCGCACAGAGGTGAGCTCTAGAGGAAGTTCATAAATTGTCCAGCTGCTGAGGACCTTTAAACACAGGCCTCTCGGCCAGTGTCCCAGGGGGTTTGGGCATAAGTCCAGCCTGGAGAGGAGCTATGGGGAGGGGCCTCCAGCTCTCAGGGAAATGGGGACCAGCCAGCACCACGAGAAGCAGCATGTGTCAAGGTGGTAGCAGGTACGAGGAGCTGGTGGCAGGGCCCAGAGAAGGGACTGGAAAGACGCCATCTGGGGTCAGGTGGCAAGTTCAGGGAGCCCCTGTGCTGGTGCCCAAAGGCAACATTCAACGGTGGGCCTGGAAGGGCCTTTGGTAGTCAGCGTGCTCTGTGGGTGAACTTATCATCTCCACCTCATTCTGAGCCCCACACCCAGAGCCATCTCTGCTTCCTGGACAATAACGCTCAAGGCCTCAGACACAGCCCCCATGTCCTGCTCCCCTGCTATGCCCCAAACAAGCTTCTCCTGGGTTCTTCCAGCTTTGCTCACTGCACAGCCTTCACCAGGCACCTGAGGCAGGCACCTGGGAACAGGAGGTCAGCCCCGTGGGACCCAAAGGGATTGCGGGGAGGGGAGTCATGGGAACCTGGGGGAGTGACCAGAAGGGAGATGGGTATTGATGGGCATAAAACACCGGCCCACCTGCTTCCCCATCCCGGCCCCTCACCTGGTGAGCTGGCTTCCCACCCCGACCCACTGGAGCCTAGAGTCCTCACCTCACATTTAGCTCATGAGAAAGCATACCCAGGGAAGGAGGCGACACACTGGAATCTATTTCTTGGAAGAACGGATCTTTCTGCTCCTGGGAACAAAGGCAGGGAACACGGATCATTCCTGGAGAGTCGCTTGTTAATTGGGGGCTCCTCAAGTATTGAGGTCCAAAGAAGAGTTTGAAGTCACCCCCACTCCTGGCCGCATCTCCAGAACCCAGCACGTCCCGACCCACCTTCCTTTCCAGCTCCCTGCATTTCAGCACCCAGGGTGATACACTAGGGTTGCAAGCCTGGCAGCTTAAAGCACACCCAAAGCCTCTTGTGCGGTGCTGTTCACGTCCCTGCGGACATGACCTGGGCACCTCTTAGGGCCACTGATGGTGAGGTCCTGGCAGGAAGCCCTGGGGCTGCTGACAACCCTGGGGATGATCTGTCAGAGTCCCCAAGAGTCAAGGGATGAATCTATGGAGCAAGAATCATTGTGTCCCCCCACTGCCCCCCGCCCGAAAACAGTCTGTCAACTGTCCCCACCTCTAATTTCCACCGCCCCAACCCCAAGCCACGGCACAACTGATACATCAGAAGGGACACAAGGGTGAGTTTTGAGGTCCCCCTGTGACCCGGGCCTAATGATTAAGAGCCCCAGACTTCTGGCACTGAATCTTGATTCCACTCTAGTAGGTTAGACTCGGTTTTCTTGTCTATAAAATGGAGAGAACCGTCTCTCACTAGCAAGGTGTGGGCGAGGTTCTTTCAGTTACCAGAGCTTTTTAACAAAAGTACCCCATCACTTCGTGGTTTAAAACAATGGCGACACCTGTTTTGGCCAGGTTCAGTGGGGACAGTCTGACTCTGCTCCATTTGGCATCAGCTGGTGTAGCTTGACGGCTAGCACCCAGAACCATCCAAAAGCTCATCCGTTCACATATCCGAGACCTGGGCTCGGGCTGTCAGCCAGAATGACTACATCCAGCCTCTTCATGTGGCCAGTGCTTCCTCACAGCATGGTGGCTGCATTGCCAGGGTGAACATCCCCTCGGATAGTGGCAACATTCCCAGGGCAAGCATCTGCTGAGAGTCGGGGAGAAGGCATATCACCTTTTGTGACCTCACCTCACAAATCATGCAGGGTCAACTCTTACATTCTACTCACAGACGCGGTCACAGAGTCCCACTCAAGTTCAGGGAGAGGAGGAATAGACCTCTTGTCGATGGAGACTGGTGAGGTCTCAGAAGACCATGTGAGATGGGAGATACTGTTGGAAAATATAATCGCCAAAGGAGGGGAGAATGAGAAAATGCTATATAAGTATTTGGCATGTAAGTACATGCTGAATAGTGGGTAGCTATCATTATATCATCTGTGTTACTGGAAAGAGCAAGCATCTTTTTATGTAA